ACTTATATCGCAAAACCAATTTGGATTTAGAATGGGTAGATCGACGGCGCAGGCAGTCACTGAACTCACTAATCAAGTTGCTACTCAAATTGATAAAAAAAAGTGCATTGGAGTTTGCCTGGATTTAGCTAAGGCATTTGATACGGTCTCTATGCCTATCTTAATTACGAAAATGAAAAATGGTATCAGGGGAAAAGTGCTGGATATATTTAGGGACTATATGAGTAATCGCAAACAACGTGTTGCTATAGATGGCCTTGTCAGTTCTGACTCTTTATTAACAATGGGCTTACCACAAGAAAGTGTGCTCGGCCCGACCCTTTTTCTGATTTATATCAATAGCCTATGTACACTCAGGATTCAAAATTGACAAATTTTTACGTTTGCTGATGATCCGGCATTAATGTTTTACGGATCTACATGGGAAGTTAAATATTACACTGAATTGGGTCTCCAGAGAGTCGCAAATTGGCTAAGTCAAAATTTACTGACACTTAATATTCAAAAAACAAAATTTTATCACTTTTGGTAATACGGAGGTTTCACTGAGGGCAGCACAAAAATTAAAGATACAAATCCATTATTGTCAAAATAAAATCAATGTAAACTGCAATTGCAATTACTAGGATCGAGTAAATACAATCAAATATCTTGGCATAATCCTTGATGAGAAACTAACATGGTGTCCACGTATTAATTATCTAGCTGAAAGAACACGTAGGTTAATATATGTTTTCAAGAATTTAAGGCACCTGGTCGATAATACTCTCCTAAAAACCGTGTATTTTGCACTAGCTCAATCGATTCTAACATATGGAATTATTGCTTGGGGAGGAGTTCGAAAAACTCATCTCAAAGATCTTGAACTGGCGCAACGATCTTTATTAAAAGTCATACTATTTAAACCCTTCCGGTACCCTACAGTCGACCTATATTCAGAATGTGATGTGCTAACGATCAGGTAATTATTTATTAAAACCATCATTATGACACAACATCAAAAAGTCAAATATGACAGTTGTATGTCCGTTCGACGAAAGGATAGGGTGTGTCCTACGGTATTGTACACTGTACTGCCTTTATAAAAAAATCCAATGCTACCTTGGTCCAATGCTTTACAATAAAATAAATAAAATTTTAAAAATTTACCCGTTACGTGAACACGCGTGTAAAAAAGCTTTAACATCATGGCTGAAATCGAAAAATTATGAAGAAATTGAAAATTTGTTCCTGGTTGTCAAGTAGAAAAGTATATGTATGTATATGTGTATTTTTGTATATACGTATATGTATTTGTGTGTGTGTATGTGTATGGATATATATGTATGCATATTACTAGGTAAAACATAATAATCCATTTAAATAATAAATCGAGCCTTGTTCATACTTAACATTGCTTTCACAAGCATACTTCATCATCAACAGCCTTTAATAGTCCACTGCTGGACATAAGCCTCTCCTTAGAAAGGAGGTTTTAGCCTACTATACCACGCTGGCATACTTACTCAATACTAAATAAAAATAATTAACTGCAAAAATGTCTTAAGTTCGCATGTTGGGTGCATTTCTCATTCATAAGTGTATTCGTTTGACGGTACGGTGTGTTTTACTTCCACGCAAACTTACTGTATTGCCTATGTGAAACTTACCCACATTTATTTTTTATTAACAATGTGGTTCAACATTACTGATCGTATGGAGATATGGAAGGGCAAAGAGCTGCAAAGCTATGGAAGGACGAAGTGTTTTTATCGGGCCTTGAACAGGCCTGAGGTAGACCAACTGGCGTCTGTATTATGGCTACGATTCGGTGATCTCTTCGGAGAAACTGAAGGTTTTGTCTTTGCAATTACTGATGAAGTTGTTAGGACGAATAATCATCGGGAGTATATCCTGAAGGACAGCACAACAGACATTTGTCGGGCATGTCATTGTTCCGGTGAAAGCCTCAGACATATAATTTCCGGTTGTTCTCGTCTTGCCAACGGCGTGTACGAGTACTTGCATAGACATAACCAAGTGGCCAGGATAGTTCATCAGCAACTTGCTCTTAAGTATAACCTTGTGATTGTTATCGTGCTACAAATATGTACCCGACCCAGTTCTTGAAAATAGTCGTGCAACGTTGTATTGGGATCGCCCTGTTATCACTGACAGGACTATTGTTGCCAATAAACATGATATTGTGATAATAGACCGATTGAAGCGCCGAGCAATGATTGTTGACATTACCATTTCACATGACTACAATCTCTCGAAAGCTGAAAAAGATAAACAAGTATATTTTTTTGTACATAAATATATTTAAAAGGGTAATTGATATGTGTATTTAATGCACTAAAGAGAATAATAGTAATATTTTGGACATCTAACGCAACGCCATCTAGTTTCAAACTAAGCAGAGCTTGTACTTCATAGTACAAGCTCTGCTAGATTGACTGATAGAATACTTATATACTTTTTTTGTAAATACATACATATTATATTTGTAGATCATACAAACACTTGGTCCGACCCGGGAATCGAACCCGAGACACACGCTCAGCAGTCGCATAAACTACCACTACGCTACCGAGGCAGTATAATTTCCAAAAGCAACTTCAGAAATTAATTGGAAGACTTCGAATTGATTTCTGCATTTACAACATAATTGAAAGTCACGTCATCGTTATCCTATACAAACGAGACGCTAGGAAAAGGTCACCAATTTAGCCTATAAAGGAAACTTAATAACGTGTATTATGTATTTTCCTGGTTAAAACAGCTTTTTTACGAGCTTGGTAAAACTGGCACTTATTTCTAAAAGTTCATAATAAAATTCCATAAGGTATATTAGACAAAGCTGATAACAATTATCATTTTGGTGCATTTATCCAAACTTCGAAAGAACTATTGAACTGCATAAAGATCCTGACTCGAAGACTACCGGGATTAACTCAATCTCTGATTATATAGACTTTCAGAAGGAATCTTTGTTCGGATATAGGTAGGTAGGTAAATTTCAAAGAGATGTTGTTTAAAAAAGACATTTGTTTACAATAGATATGAACATTGTATAATTTATATGTTACCGCCATTCGTTATTATTGACTTCAATTTAATCTTTGTTTCTCAATTATATTTTAAATCACACTAATTTTATAAAGGCGAAAGTTTGTAAGTGTGTGTGTTTGTAATTCTTTATAATAATTTTCTAAATCGGTTATCAAATAAAAATTATTGAAATGATCATTTCATTATTTTCTTAAAATATTAATTGAACTTAAAAACAATCACAGATAAACATTACAAACAGCAATTCTGTTTTTATGACCTTTTAAAATAAATGATTTTAGTTTATGTTTTTTTAAACATGTAAATTTTAGCTTTTAATATAAATTTCACACAATTCAATTCACACTATGCCTACTTATGGCCTACAGATCAATGGTCATATTAAATAACATCACAATGTAGTAAGATTTTTAGAGTAAGTCCTACTCTTTTATACTCTAATATATACATATCGAATAAATAATACACCTTGAAGAACTCTCAAGACATTCAATAAATATTTGCAAAAATAGAAAGCGGATGCGCACACGCACTCTACAAAGACGTATATTACCTGACTAAGGGACAAAGGTCAAGTTTAGTGCACTAGATGCAAACAACGAAGTACACTTACTCCCCTCGCCTCCCGTGTCCCAGCTTGACGAGCGGACGTGTTATGGGGGATTCTTGTTAAGTATTGGTATTAACAAATATTATCTAACCAATAAATTTATCTATAAAAAATCAAGTGTTTTCATACTTAATTAAATAATCTTTAAACAGTGCATTACTTTTGTTTTTTTTTTATTGCTAAACAAATTATATAAAATTCCCAAGAAGTTATGTACAAGAGATGATTTTAATCCACTTATCTTTTTATCTACAACATTTGAATATCCTTCTTTGTGAAGCTGACTATAAAGTGTGACATGGATACTTTTGCAGTTGCAATCGAGTAATTTTAAAAACAAATTTTAGATGTATTATTCTATCAAATCATTTATTCAATTCATGTTTAACAGAGTTCATACCCAACACAACTGTTTTAAATACTTTAACGCATCTAATTTACCACTTTCTAATATTTTGACTGTACGGATGGCGTAGCGGTTTAAGCGGTCGGCACGCCGCTTCCTACTGCGCCGAGTTTTGTGGGTTCAAACCCCACATGGTACGACACTTTGGGTGATCCACAAATTGTTGTTGTCTGGGTGTTCTTTGTGTCCGTTTCATCTATGTTCTTAAAGACCCACGCGACACATATTAAGAATGCGGGAGTTGTCTTTAAAAAAAAAACTATTTCATCATCGTTTCTGATGATGAATGTTTTCCTTCGCTTCTTATCTTCTCTTTTAACTTTGTTTCAATTTTGTTTCGTTTTTTAAATACGATTGTAATTTAAATGAGAGATTTAAATACGAATCTCCGATGCCAACCGACTGCCTGGTACGATGGCCACGATGTTTATTTTTTGTACGTATTATAAATGTATTTAAAAAGTAATTTATATTATTATTTAATGTAATAAAGAGAATGTTAATAATAACTTTACACATCTCACACACAGACTACTGATAAATGTACAAAAAAAACCTTGTAAGTAATGTAAAATAAACTTGGGAGGGAACTCCACTTTGGGTACATATTGGCACACCAAGGTCATGGAATTGTTAAAAAGTAATAACTAAAAGAAGGCTAAAAGAATAAATACATTTATATCAAATGAATTTAATGTAGGTAATAAGCGTTCGTTACTCATAATGATCTGGAATGTTTTATGTATCTATTTTGAGATAAACTTGAATTGAACCGCCCCTAATAAAATTACAGAAATTAATTCGTGAGCGGTTACATTTATCTACATTATAACTGATAATAATTATTTAGTCATCGCGATCCTATATAAACGAGACGCTTGTAAAAGGTCACCAGTTTAGCAAACAAAGGTAACTGTATAACGCGTAACGATGCGATGCGTCAGTCTTGTTTTGATATTCTTAGTGACTGCTATGGCGACTGCGTCAGATGATTCAGAGAAGCGATATTACGATGTTGCTGATGCACTGAAGGAATTCGAAAAGTTTAAAGCTACTTACAAAAGGGAATATAAAGATGAAGCTGATAAACAAGTACATTTTGAAGCGTTTGTAGACAATTTGAAAAAAATTAACAAGCTCAACAAAGAAAATCCTCATGCCACATTCGGAATCAACGCATTTGCTGATTACACAGCGGAGGAGATGAAATCGATGCGTGGATGGCGCCATTAGTGAGTAAACTTTAAAAGAATGTTTTTATTTATTTACGAATTACATGTTTTTGTATCTGTTTTCATTAGTAACGTCACCTTATTTTAACAACCATAACTTCAAAGCGTTAATTAGAAATTACATTATAAATCCATTAACGAAGATTTGAAGTAGTTATAATTTAAGACAGTGATATTTTGTAATAAACTTCTACAATCTACATAAAATGATCGCATGACTTATATTTCAATGTCATTACATAGATAATACAGAGGTGACCATAGAGTTTTAGAAGTTTGTATGAACTTGGAACTCGGTCCTTTGGCGTAAATTATAAGAATTGTCACATATGGTCGCCATAATATATAATCCAATAAGAATTGATAAAAGTTATAGTTTTATTTTTATTTTATCATAAATAGTTAATCACTTAATAATGTTAACCTATTTTTGGTTACCAAAAACTCTCAAAATTGATTTGCACATCAGGTGATTTGTACATTGATTGTTTGCTTGTGGCTCCTGAGTTGCAAGCGTTTATGGGCGGCAGTAGCCACTTTTCATCAGGGCCTCAATTCTGCTATTTTATGTTTACGCCAAGCCAGTGTCATACCACTGACACGCTATTGAGATGCCATCGAGTAGCCATTGGTATAAATATCGGTAGTTGAAAATATATTACGTTTTTTGAGGAAATGATTTATTTGTTTTTTTATTATAATAAATTATTAAAATAAATAAATAAATTATTAATAAAAAAAAAAGAGAAATAAATAAATTAATTTTTTTTTATTAAAGAATAAATTATAAAAATTATAAAAAAAGAACTAAATTAATTATTAAAATAAAAAAAAAAATCATTTCCTCAAAAAACGTAATATATTTTCCAATTATAAGGAAATGACTTATTTATTTAAATTTTTTTTTTATTTTTATTTTAATAAATTATTTCTTTATTTTATAATTTTATTTTTTTTATAATTTATTTATTTATTTTAATTATTTATTTATTTCTTTTTTTATAATTTTTATATTTTATTCTTTAATAATTTATTTTAGTTTATTTTTAATTTTATTTTTTAGTAAGTTATTTAAATTTATTGATTTCTTTTAATAATTTATTATAATAAAAACAAATAAATCATTTCCTCAAAAAACGTAATATATTTTCAACTACCGACATTTATACCGATGCCAATGGCTACTCGATGGCATCTCAATAGCGTGTCAGTGGTATGACACTGGCTTGGCGTAATAGCAGAATGGAGGCCCAGGTGACTCGTCGGCTCGTTTGCCCCCTCTTTCATAAAAAAAAACATTGATTGAAATAGGCATAAACACTTTTCCTTCAACGATAGCCCTTAATGGGTAGTCCACTGCTGGACATAGGCCTCTTCTGAGAAAGGAGGTTTCGTTCGAGTTATTTTAAAAATAAATTTTAAAATGCAAATTTACATAATATATTGTTTTCATTTTTTCAGACAAAATTCAATTAGTTTGCTGCAAGTCATGTCTCATATATTCGTCTTAAAATTCTACTTATTGAATTTATACGTACCTAATGTCGTCGTTAACATTATACTTTTTCATAATTATTAAAATATGTTAAAGTGATAATTTTAGTTTTATTTAAAAAAAATCTAAAGTGGTTATATGGTGAAATATTTATTATAATTGCATGCCATTCCCTGTTAGATACCTATTATAAATGGAGTAGTGCAAAATCAGGCCTAGAAGTGGACACTTTGAAATTTAATTGACGTTTTTGTTAACGTATAAGTTTGCAGAAATAGGTATTTTGATTTAATAAGTTTTGGTTTTGATTAACTTGTTCGAAATAGTATTTATTGGCAGTCCTAAAAAAAGGACGGTAATTAGTCTTTACTTTATAAATGATTGAACACTGCTATAATGGTGATGATAAAGGTTATTTAAAGATTTTTTTTTAAACGTTTTTGTATTTACTATTTTTTATAGTACCTACGCTAGTTGTAATTATTTATATTAGGTGTATTAATTGATTACTTCCTTAAAGTAATTCACTAATTAATAATGATAAATAGTGATTAATAATTAATATTAATTATGATTTTTTGTCTCTGTTTAGTGTATTTGTATTACCATGGCTGCGTAGTGTAGAGGTAAGGAGATCTATCTATGTGTATGAAAGTTTCTGTAAAAGCGCGTGAAATGAGGGTGGCGCTGCGGTAGCCTAGAATAAATGCACCTACCGACTATTACTTTTTCCAAAATTTAGACAACTTTTTAGTAGGTAATAAATTCAATTCCCGAGAGGCAGTACAAAATGCCTTTGAAGAGTTTGTTGCCTCCCGTCCCGCTGATTTTTACAAGAAGGGCATCAATAAACTGCCAATGCGTTGGCAAAGATGCGTCCATTGCATGGGTGATTACTTCGAATAACAGAAATAAAAAAGTTTGAAAAAATAAGTACTTTCACTTATTGCATACAAAACGGCAATTTCATAGGGAAAGACCTATTATAATAATATCAAAAGTAGATAGTAAGATACCAGTGTGTGCTATTTTCTATTATATGACTCAAGCTTTTGATTATATGGATCATGAAATCCTACTTGCAAAGTTTGACCATTATAGTATACGAGGAAATGTCCTAAGTCTAATAAAATCTTATATGACTGACCGGCAGCAATACGTAGAGATTAAACGCCTAAATAATTCAACTAAAAATAATCTCTCATATGTGAACAGTAAAATTTGGCGTGGGGCAGGTTGCTGTTTATATTATAAATAAATGACTTGCCTAAAGCCCTGATCAGTTATTCAACAAATTACAATATTTGCGGCTGACAGTACAGTTACTATAGAATATAGAAATGAAACAAAATATGAAAATGACATAAACGCTATACTATTAAATATAATAAATTCGCTTGACAATAACAACCTTAAGATAAATATACCAAAAACGAAGTTAATGCACTTTTCACAAAGACTACCCACGTTACAAAATTTGGACATGAAACACGAAATTTTGTGAAGTTACCATAACGAAATTTTTATATGTTTTATATGTTTCGGATCTATGTACAACTGTTGGTGAGACCTTGGAATACATCTAAATGTATTTATTGTTGTCTTTATTTACTACTGTACGGATATATGTATGACTGTGTGTAAGAACTTGGTAGACATCTTTAGTTGTATTAACTGTTGTTGTTGTTATTAACTACTGCTGCTTGCTTGTATAAAGGAAAACCATGACAATCTAAAGAATGACGTCAGCTTTGTTGACGTCACTCTATTTAAAAACAACCCAGACATCGGTCCTTAGTCATATATCATAAAATCAGTAGTTTAGCATATTATGATGCTATGTTTAAACTTACACCAGTCTTAGATATTGATGCACTACTTACAGCTTATCATTGAACTACTGAGTCAAATTTTTGAGATATGGAATAACAATTTAGGGCAACTTCATGCATAAAGACGTAGTTTTTAAAGCCCAAAAAAAGATGTATTTGAGCCATGTTTAGTCCAAATAGTAGAAATAGAATGTAAACTATACTTTTAAAGCCACGATATCTTAACTTTACCGTCTTTATCCTTAATCCTGAATCATTTGACACTTTCGCAGACCAGCGCCAGTCAAAAATAAAAGGATACCTCATGAATTTAAAAGTTAAATCTTAATCTATTTTAAAAAGCGTCTACCTGACTTTTAATAAAGAAATGCCACTATGCAATAAGTGACTTTCTCTGAGGAAAATACTAGTCTTTTTGGATTCTTACTAGTTGAGATCTTATATTATTGTTACTTAATTAAATCAATTTATTTGTAACTTAAAGTACAATTGTAATATTTTGGAATTCTATATTGTCATTTTTATTTAATGTTTATTAACAAATGTCATTTACTATTTCTAAATCAATTGACAATTGGTTTAAGCAATTTTTGGCGTGCCGTTAATGTAAACCGAAGAGGACATGTATAAATAAAAATGTAACACCGTTGTACACCTTTGATCAGCAAATAAATAAAATATGAGTATGAATTGAAGACGTAAGTAGATGAAGGTGATATGTCGTATTTTCGGATTTTGACAGCTTCGTCTTGCAAGACGAAGCTGTCAAAATCCGAGTGTGCTCGCGTCACGTCGTTCTGCTTTCCTATTGTGCGGGCATAAACGTTACCAGTTGTTAAAAGTTTTATTTAGAATAAGGAAAAATTATAACACTGTTGAATCTATTTTTAATTTAGAAAAATAAGTCCCCCGCGACACAGGATATATTCCTAATGCGGGAGTCTTTTTTTGAAAAAAAAATATTTATAAATAATTCAATGGCTTATTTTCCTGAAACAATCGTATTTACCGATGTAATGTGACTTTTTAATTCTGTTTACATCGTCCTTTACAAACTTTTATCACAGAAATCGTCAAAATAAACAACACGAAATAAGTGAGCAACGGGTGATCCAGTGATAGTACCTACTTTTTATATTTTTTCCTCTGTATTCACAGCTTTGAGTCTCCATCTAGACTTATTAACAATCTTAGTTTCCCGATTCTTAAACCTTTATCCTTAAGGTATTCATATTTGTGTACTTTTTGCTATTGTTTTTTGTAGGTTGTGAGTGTTTGTACCAGCTATGTCGATTATTATCATCTCCGTTAAATACCATTTGTTTCATTTTTACTTTTAACTTGTGACCAGCTGGTACCTACGACTTCATTTGGTATTTTTTTTCACCCATAAAGTTTTCAAGTCTACATTAAGAAATCAAGGAAAGTTTTTTTTTTTTACTAACATCTGTATCAAACTGTAGTTATCGTTATCCATCGTAATTAGCAGAGGTAAACTGATCCATTTTCATAGCGTGCTCATGCGCATGGGTTTTCTGGTTCAGCCAGCAGAAAATAAATGTACTGTACTGAATGTACTACACTCTCGACAACAATTAGGCACAACACGGTTTGCATTTACTCCAATCCTCCACCACCATTGATTGAAGTGCAACTACTGCAACATTCCTGTATTTAAAGCACAACCAAGTTCGAATCAAGTTACTAATAAAGTTTATTTAAAACAATGGTTTTAAATCAACCGTCTAAGTATTACGAATTAGGCAAATTTTAAAACCGACATAACTTTATGAATGTTATATCTGCAAGGGCACAATACATTTTAACATTGCACATTGTATTTCTAAAAAACATTCGGTAGCATAAATGCCTATTATACATAAGACCTTGTAATTTTAATTATATCGTTAACACAATTAAACAAAAGAATTACTATGGAATTGTTTTGAACTACCAGTTTTATTTTAATTTATAATTTAGTTATTGTAGATGAAGTTTAATTTTTAATGTAACTCTAGCTAGAGATACATTTCTATAACTACCTTAAGACGAGGCGCTTTTTAGAGAGTTCTTTTTAATAAAAATCCTCATCATCATTATCAACAGCCTTTGATAGTCCAATGTTGGACATAGGCCTCTCATTAGAAAGGAGGTTTTGGTCTACTATACCAGGCTGCCCAGACGGGTTTGTATAGTGTTTCTAAACTTAAAAGTTTTACTTCTCTATACAGAGCTGTTGTCCTGCGTAGTTCGCTTCCTTAATCGGCGCTTACGACACCCGCGGGATGAATAGGGGTGGCGACACTCCGTTTTTTTAATCCGTCACCACACGAATTCCACTACATGAGTTAATTAAATTAAAATAACCAAGATTATGTCATAGTGGCATCAAATATGTATTTATCCTAAAGAGAGATGCTACATAAAATCGAAACCCTGAGTCACGTACGTAGCGTATGTGCATGTTCGCATTAGGTGATAAACTAGCACTGGCTCGGATAACACGTCGATAGTTATTTAGTCATTGCGGTCCAATACAAGCAATAAAACACTACGAATAGTCATCAGATTTCTAAGTAAAAGAACTGGTTCACAGCGTTTGAACTACTAGCCTTTGAACACCAAAGGATATTTAGATATTTTTGACAATTATTTCCAAGAAACCACAACTGCTTACCAAAAGTTATAAAAAGATGAAGGTGATATATAAGTTTGTTTATCAGCTTGATTCTTCTTAGAATAATTAAATTAAATTTGTATATTACATATACATATATTATACAAAAAGAATTCGGCTTTATTTAACTCATTAATAATTATTGAGTTAAAATAAAGCCTATATCGAATTAAGGATTAAACAATTCGCTGGTTTTTCAGAAGTAGATATAGGCCGCGTCAGATTGTACGATTTGGTCAAATTTTAATTATTTATTACAACACTTATCCTCAAAACGTTATGTACAAAAGAAATTATTAGAAGAATTAGGTTGAACAACTGTATTACTATTAAGTTATAATAATATTTTCCATACAATATATAGCGTACAGACATTTCTTGTAACGTTTCGTAGTAGTCGTAGTTCATCTTCCTATTCTAAATAAGTATTAAAGAATATTATGTCTATTATTATGTTATTATTGTTATTGTT